TATTTAGGTTCAATTTTTGTACGCACGTTCGCGAAGATTTTATTTTGTATAAAGATCCGCAGTGTAATCATCGCTATACTTTGGTTCGTGTACCATAAGTTTGCCACTGCCGCTCAAGACTGTTCCAAGATTCCTAAATTGGGAGGTAAGGAAGAAAAGAGAGAGCGAGGTTTCCATGACGCCGATGATGCAGAACAGGACGTTGCTCGTAATAAGATTTTGCCGGAAGTGGAGTCTTAGGAAGCGCTCGGCCCATGCCTCCTCTTCGGCGAGCTCCTGTGCCAGCGCCAGCGGCGCACAAACGAATCTAATTAAACGCTAAATTGTTATTTTAAGTTTAATAACGACCGTAATGACCTCAAGCTCGGGCCTGTGCTCTGTTATTATCTAGATTGCATATTTTCCGGTAAATTAAGTTCCGTAAGAGCTCGGCCGGCCCGCAAGAAGCGCGAAGCGAGCGAGCGTGCTACCAACCGAACGAAACTCGCAAACTGCGCCCTCGAGGGAGTACGATTGATCGATTATCCGCGATATTATATACGCGGCGGACTACACCTTTCGATATTACGGAACCAGGAATGCCCGCTGGGTGTAATGCCGTACAGAAATTTTCTGTATTAAAATGCGTTGGTGGTCGCAGGCTCTTCCGAAAATAGACGCGATTGTAATAGCAGAGTGGCTTGGACAGAATTTCTTTTCTACTTCTCGATAGACTGTCAAAGAGGGACAGAATTAAATAAAAAATATAGAGATTTATCTCGGAGATTTATATAATCAAAGAGTCAGATCTTTATTTACTTCATATATGTATATCTTTATATTCTAATATTTTAAATATAGTAGTATATGGAGAAATATATAGTATATATTATATATACAGGGTGTTCCTTACTGTTCTGACAAGATTGTAGAAGCATGATCTACAAGTAAAAACAAGAACAAAAATGTTATATGAAGTTTGCTTATAAACGGTTTGTTACGATATTATAAGCAAATATTAAACGTGACTTCTTGTTATAAGGAACGCTAAAACAGGAAGTGTACAGTACAGCAGTAAGTACACGTGAATAATTAATTCAACGAATTACTAATTCAGTTGGTGAGATACAGCAAAATCCTCAAGCAATTCAAAATGTAATACATTCCATATTACATCGATGTTAAGTTTGTGTCAATACAGAACAGTCATTTGGTCATTTTGAAACTATGATTTAAAAATTCTTAACAATCCTCGGACGTTAAGAAATATCTCCCAAGTACAGGCAAAGTAAACACAATCAATCTTATTTATTATTCAGCTTTAAATCTACTGTTTCGCACCTATTCAGGCTACATTCAATATTTGCCTATAATATCGTGACAAAGCGTTTGTTATCAAACTTCATATAACATTTTTCTCTTGTTTGTACTAGTAAATCATGTACAATCTACAATCGTACCGAAAAAGTATAAAACACCCTGTGTCTTTGATAAATAAACAAATATATTATACAGTAAATGTATTTCTCGGTTACAATCCAATTGCCGTCAATTTTTCAAGGAGCCCTGAGACTCTGTTTTGCTTTATATCTTAAATATATTCTCTCGAAAAATTATGAAATATAATATCTACTACGTGCGATGCATGATTGCCATTAAATTTGACGAGAAGCTGCGGAGACATTGACATAGGCGTTGCAGTGCAATCATTTCTACTGTAACGAATCTCTTCTTTTCCAATATCATTATACTTGCAACAAAGCAAGCTAATACACACCACGCAACAAAAACTGAAACAATCTTCGCTACAGCTGGAGCGTCATTTCTGTGATTCTTATCTCGATCCTCTATCTCGATAAGAAAAGAAGAATAAGAACAATCGAAGGACTTTAAAAATTCAAAGTCCAGCATCTAAAAACATCCGACATTTTATCATGTAGTCCAGTCCCAGAGGTAGGATTGGTTCTCTCGGTCGGTCTCGCGTGTCGCAAGGACCTCGTCCTTGAAGGGCATCGTCGGCGACACGGTTTGACCGACCGATTCGTCATCTGTTCGTCCTCGGCGCTCGATTGCGAACACGACCGAGCAATGCGTTTCTTGCTCGCCCCTTGGCTGCTCCGTAACACGTACAAATCCCTCCCTCAGCCCTCAGCCCTCTGCCCGCGAGCCTTTTCTCTCTAGGTTCTTTCTGCGCCTCCTTCCGCAGCGGTCAAACGTCGCGCGCGGCGACAGCAATTACCCAGGGGTCGGAAAAACCGTCGGCGAATTACACGAGGTCGGTATGCGAGCGTGCCACGGGCAGAAGTCGACGCCACTTTATAAACGGCCGCTGTCGTTGCCCTTAGGAAAGTTCATAAATATCGCGGGTAATTGTACGCGGTGTCCTGGGAACGACGCCGACGCCGACGTAACGAGCCCGCGTGTGCCCTTGCCACTTTCGCGTCTGTTCTTCCTAAGGGTCTCCGGTTTGCTTGTTTCTGGTCACATTGTACGTTAAGCGAAGATATCTTTTGACGGCTGTAGCAGAATTTCATTTTACACATGGATTGGACCGAGTTTTGGGGCTATCGAGCAGAGATAGGCAAACCCCTAGGCTTCGAATAAATCTAAAGTTTGCCGATATGTTTGTCTCGTTTCCTCTTTTGAACATTTTCCAAAGAAGGAAACGAGACAAACACTACCGCAAACTTCAAATTTATTCGAAGCCTAGGGGTTTGCCCATCTCTGCTATCGAGCGAGAGGTTCTGTTGCAACATACTTGTCCTTGTAAAAGAGTTAGATGGGGAGGACTTGACGCGTTCCTCTTTCATTTTAACGTTCTTTTGGAGGTGATAGATTATATTGCACTCTTGAATCGTGTAGGATATTCGATGTAGATGCTAATTTGTGCGGTTGTTATATCATATTTGTCCTTTTAAAAGAGTTAGATGAGGAGGTCTTGATATGTTTCTATTCGATTTTAACCTCTTGAGGGACCAATTTTAAATTGATCTTTGTTTACTGTAATTGAATATACACGAACAGAGACAATTTTTACTTGTAAATCAATTTTAACGTACAGATATGTGTAAATATTCCTCGAGAAGTTAACGTTCTTTCGAGGAACGATTGAGCATACGACTCTCTCTCATTACACGTTACATGTACCATCTTTCGTTAATGTAATAAGTAGACTGCGGATCTTTATGCAAAATAAAATCTTCGCGAACATGCCTACAAAAATTGAACCTAAATAGGAATTTATTTTATTCTGCAAATATCATAACATGAACTTTACTTTCAATCTTTTTTACATTCTTGCATATTGTTTGCATTTTGTAGTTTCTTGCACATTCAAATTTCCTATAAATGCATAAAGATCCGCAACCTAGTAATAAGACATTGTTCTATGTAAGGATGGAATTGGTTTAAGAAAATTTAGAGTTTCTTACGAGTCACGATTTCTTCTTTTGAGAGGCTCAGGGCTCGGGATCCGAGCACGCGATCGAATCGAACCTGTAGGAAGCGTGGCGTGGGATCGAAATTAAATCCAACGTATCACGGAAGCCTCGGGTCCTGATGAAACGCTCATTTCGCGAACCGCGGGCACATGACAGCCGTAATTATCTTATTGCAATTAACGCGAATCGCATAACTCCGCGGAAAGAGTCTAGTTCCTCGTCGAAATGGATTCTTGGCCAAAAGTGGAGGTAGCCACGGAGAATGGTACCCCTGGAATCCGTACCTGGCAGCTTCCTTCTTATGGTCGTCGGCCGTGCCTCCCGACGTGCTTCTTCTCCCTCTTTCCCTAATGGTAGCACATCGAAAAAACTACAGCGAGTTGGCCAATTAAGGCGGCACTACCGTGTTGTATTTGTCGTGTGTCCCACGGGGAATGCACCTGCGTGCCGGACTTTGATTCTTGCACGGCTATTAATTATTATGCGCCACGCGTTCGCGGTAGTTTTAATTATCGGCCCTTTCGCGGCCAAGATTCGCTCGCTTGGACAATCCGGTATCTCGAGGGCTTCGTAAACGTCCCTTTGTTTCCTTATTGGCCAGCAGTCTCGCGGAAGCAACTTTCCACAGGAAAAGGCGGTTCGATGGGTCGACTTTCACTTAAAAACCAGAGATTATCGAGTCGTTGAACGCGTCGAAAGAATTTTGCCTGAGGACAGACGATGAATCCGGGGTGTATCGAAGAGAATGCTTCAATAATTGTGCCAATCGCACAAGTATTTCTTGACAGTCGTTACTCTCAATCCATTTACTGCATTGGAAATTCAGAGCTTTTTACTCTGAACGGCTAGATACATATGTCTATTTATAATCCAAGTTATTATTTTAATAATAAGAAATGATATTAAATTTAAGAGGGTATGCAGTTGTTATTTAAATTCAAGGATTCAAGAATTTGTTTTCAGGATTTAAGCACATACTTTAATCTAACTTATTATATAAATTCTTTTGTTAAGATAAATTTAAGATGGCCAGAACACAGCAAATCTTCATGAATGTTTTTCTTTTAGGGTGTACACGGTAAATTTGACTGAGCTCATTTGAACATACCAATCAAATTATTATATTATATACTCCACTAACCAATCCATTTAACCAATTAAATTATATACTCTGTTAGTAGTATAGAATACATCAGTATCTTTTGAACGGGCAAAGAAATTTTCTTTTCAACGAAAACTTTCTTTCTTATTAAGGAAAACCATTAATTTTCCAAAGCAACTTACGAGATTTTCCAATAAAACCACTGTAATTTGATTAAAAATGAAAATTTCGAAAAATTCTTCGTCCATTTAAACATATGTGTTCTGTATGTATGTTGACATCTGTGTAGTATTTAAATCTCGAACAAAAATCCTTGAAATTTATCTACAACTGCATGTACCCTCTCAAAATAAAAATGTATGGTAGAATCCTTGTCGAATAAGCTCATTTTACTTCATCGATATATACATCTTATAAATTAATTTCCCCATAAATCTGTGTACCTAAATTCCGGTTAACGTAATTTCGAACCCATCTAGGATCTCCTTGCGAACACGACGGCATCTGCGTGAACACGCCCGGCTCGTTCGCCTGCAACTGCACGCAAGGATTCACAGGACCAAGATGCGAGACGAACGTGAACGAATGCGAATCCCATCCCTGCCAGAACGACGGCTCCTGCCTGGACGACCCTGGAACGTTTCGATGCGTCTGTATGCCTGGTAAGTGAAGTTTTCGTTTCTTCTTCGAAAACGCGCGGGGACTCGTTTGCTCTCGCAGCTTTTTCCCCATTGAGAAAAACGTTAAGGTGAGACATCGCGTTCACGAAAAATATTGCTCACCGCAAGTACCGCGAGGGAACGGGTAATTCGCGATGGTTCGCGTGACCATACCTGAATGAACCACACCTGAATGCGCGTTGATCGCTTTCGCAATGGCAATTGGCCAAACTGCTCCATTTACGCGAGATACAGAGCACCTTTATTGTGCGTTTTCGCGTGCCTATTCAACGACTCCAGCATATGGCTCCGTTGGAAAATTCGAAGTCGAAATGGAAATTGGTTTCGAAGCGGTGTTCCTTGCAGTTTCGTTTGTGCTCTTAGGAGTGATTTTCACAGTTTCGCGGGGAAGGAAAGTAGAGATAGGACAGGGTTTCTGAAGAGAAACAGAAGGGACAGAAACAGAAATAGATCGCAGTGATATCGATGTTTATTAACCCTGGAGTTGCCAACAATTTCACCCGCACAGAAATGAAACAGGGACTTCCGTATTTGTTCCAAGGGAGACGGGATATTTAGGCCGATCGCGCACGGGCGCGACTGATCAGTTTTAAACCAGTCTGAAACTAGTTCCATGCGACCGTGGATCTAGGTAAAACAAAGATAGTGGAGTAGGTAAAACAACGAGCGCATACGGTTTGCAACATTAATTACAAATCGGTTGCGCCCGTGTCCGATCGGCCTTAGAGAGGCGATGCATACTATTTTTTGAAGTGAGAAGTTATGAAGAGTAGTCATAGATCACAGTGATGTCGATGTTTATTTAATGCTGGAACAATTTAACCCACGTTGTTGAACTCCTTTCTAAAATTACTCAATTATTAACATTGGCTTGTTACACTACCTTTGGTGACAATTATTTGAATAGGATGCAAATTATATTGGTAGATAGATAGCGAATGTTTATGAATTTATGACAAATGGATAATATATTGGCATCTATGTGAATGAGCACAAATGCAAAAATATATAAAATATCAACAATAGTATACATGCTATAATGTACAGAAAATAAGACATACTTTCATTTAAATTGGTGCGTGTAAAAATATGGATTTGCAGAAACTTTCACAGTCTATAGATCAATTTATTTGCTCCTTGCTCCTTAAATGTCAAAGATATAGTTGAAACGAATGAATTGAAATACAAAGATACAGTAATATACGTTTAAATGGTATGCATTGCCCTCGTTAGTTTTATCCTTAACAGTAGAAGAACAGTCAATTAATCGAATGCTATAACAGAATCCTCTTCAGTGGCCCTGAATCAGAGCCCAGATTAATGTTTCTACAAGGTTGCACCTGCCTGCATCTCATCATCAGTTTATATTCGAATACATGAGCTATTCACATTTTTACTATGGAAAAATGAACGGTATAGAGAAGCATCTCGATAATCGAATAAAATCGAAGAGAGCACGGTACCGTTATAAATACTACACAGCACGATACTCCCTTACGTTTGCTTCATTACTCGCGATTAATCGGGCTCGTGTATCTTTTTCTATTCCACAATCCGCGGCAACCGCAGGAATGACGAAACTCGCACGGCTCTAGAGTTCATAAAATCAGATATTTGCTCTGCGTGCTCGCGAACAGCAATTAGCTAGAGATCAGGAGTTTCCCATCTTCATCTTGACGTGGACGTCGGCGTCGGGTCTCGAGGAAGCATCTCGCGCCATCAAAGCTTCGGCGAGTCCTGTGGCGGGGCATTTTCGTGGAAAAGCTATTCGCGCGAACAAGCCACGCTTCGCCAGCGTCAGAAATCAAGATTCAGCGTGCGCGATAACGGGCTACGGTAACTCCTGGTTGGTCCTGCGGTGTCGTCTGTAAATTCTTCCGAGATGACAGGGCCTTGGTTTGCATTATCTGATGTTGGAGTCGCGGAAGGATGCCGGTCGGTAACTCGTTTACTCTTTTAACGCTGGTTGGTACGCGCCTCGGCCACGCGTAAGTCAACCTTAATTGTTTGAAGCCACGTAAGACCCGTCTTAGGTCTTCTTGCCTAGCGAGCCATTTAAGGGCCTGGGCATAGAGCGTCCCGTCGAGATCCTGCCGATCGATAATCGATATAATCGACGGAGAGTGACCTGTACCGTTCGATATCGCTGGGAATCGCGTAAACGCCTTCGGAGTGCGAGGAGAGATTCTCGAGGAGAGTTGGCATGAGTTGGCATTCGCTGGTGGACGATGGTAGACGGAATAGTGCTGTTTATTTATTTGTTTGTTTATCAGGTTGATTGCGTAAGGGAGTTGTAGTGTTACGTGTACGAGGTTAATTTTGTGGAAAAAGCAACGTTTACGAAGAAGAAAGGTATCGTTGATGTGCTATTTCTGTTAATGTGTTAGTTTTATATTAGGGGTACACATAAGTTTATTAGATTGCGTTTAGATGGTGCTAGGGAAAGATATATCAGCATTTATATGTAAATGTTTTTGATATTGATGTAACTGATCAACTTGAATCCAAACAAATGAATAACAGATCGTAGTTGTTGGCGTAGCCTCGTTGTTAGTTCGTTTGAAAAGCGTAGATTCCATTTGGTTAATAAAGCAATTCAGCACGAGAACCTATAAAACTTAGCATACATTTAATAATTCATTATAGTTAACGATGACTACGTGGCTGTAGTCTGGGTGATTCAGGCTAAATATGGATTTTATCTAAAATTAATGATTTCTTTAGTTTTAGTAAAGGTAGCAAGTTTTTAAATAGTCATAAATTGTTATAGACCATTAGCTTTCGAACACAGGTTTCATATGTACGACTCTCAATCTCCAACGTGACTTCCAATCTTCCAGATCCTATTCGATAATACAATGACTCTTAATTCTATTGTCATTCAACTTGTTCCTTTCTACTCACTTTCTTTTTACTTTTCGATTCTATTTTGTAATACATATATTGCAAATTGCTAACAACACTTGTTCTTTTCGACGATTCTATCATTCCTATGTGTGTTCACTAGGTCTCGTTGAAACTTACAACACTCTCGATCTCATTCTAGCTGAGCTTGCATCTTTCTACTTGCCAGTACTATAACTTCAGTAGCTGGTATCTTATTCTCCAATACCTCAAACAAATCCTTTCAGTTTTGGATTCCGTTCATTAATACGTATAATTTTGTTGCATATTGTAAACAATGCTTCCGCTTTTCGAAGAATCTATTAGTAAAGTACACACTCTATCAGGTTCCATTGAAACTTGCAACATTCTGCGTCCCATCCTAGTCGAGCCTGTACTTTCTAATCACCAGTGGCACAATTCACATAGCTGGAATCCTCTATGTGAGAAAAGAAAAACGAAGAAAAGCTATGTTCATCTTGAACGAGTCCTCTTAGCTTTTAATTCTTACTTGTTGACACGCATAGCTTTGTTGCAAATTATAAACAACGCTTTCACTTTCCAAAGATTCCATCGACTCAACACACTCTGAGAGGTTCCATTACAACTTGCAACATTCCTTATCCGATCTTAGCTCGTCCTGCGCCTTTCTACTTATCGCTGCTATAATTTTACTATCCGGTATCTCGTTCTCCAAAAAAAAAGTGTACGCTTACAAATCCTTTCGGTACCAATTGCTTCTATTGATTTCATCTCCGCTCGCGGCATAGAGAGCCGGTTCGTGGCGTCCTTTGCAACAAATAGAGCGTTAAGATGGACGCAAAGCCAGGGCTCGAAAACGGCGGCCATCGATTACGGCCTCTCGAACGCTATTTTGCCGTCTCTTTATTCCCCATTCCCTGCCCGTTCCTCCGTCTTCTCTCCAGCTTCGTCGATTTATGGCGCCGATTTACAATTCGCGCGACCTTTGCCGCGGCGCAACTCCGGCCTGGTCTTCGGCGTCGTTGTTACGCCTCGATGTGCGCGCTATTTAACGAATCCCCAAAGGGTCGATAAATCGGGATGGCTCGCGACGAAAGATATCGCCCAATTAGGGGAAACACGCTTCATATCCGCCGGGATTCCGTCGAAGCTACTCTTTGAATCCTTACGAAAATCTTACCTCGTTGATATTTTTCCGAATATTTTTTACTGGAGTTCGGTAACACTGGTAGGAATACGTACGCTGGGAAAGCTGTTATCGATGGAGTTCGAGTGAAAATCGCATTCAAGAAAATTCGCTTCTTTTAGTGGCCTATATAGAAGACCTTTAGTGCCAATACTTGTACGATCATCGCACAGTTTTGACAGTGACAAGTAGAGACAAAAATAAAAAAACGCAGTCGTTCTTTGCCAACTTTTTTTATAATTCAGTTACGAGATACAAGAATATTACATTCAGCAATGATTCATTTAAATCTTTTCGGATCTGAAATATTCCCGGATTCTATTACAGTGCACTAATATTGCTTCCTCTTCTACTCCAACATTACTGTAACAACAAAATTTCTTTCACAACGAAATGATATTTCCCCATTCGATGAAGTAATCCGAAATGCAACCTGTAGAATTCGGCATACATTACGCGAACACGATACGTGGTTACACATGCCGCCTCGACGTGCCGCGAAGCGGAAAGATAATCGACGCGCGCGAAATCCACGCGTGTACAAATGTTGCGGGTATTTAAAGGACCGCGTGCCAGGCGCGCGCTCGCGCAGTAAAAAGTAAATCGATCAACGGTTCGGACAGAGCCGGCCAAGCAGAAATTACTTTTCGAAAATTCCATTTGCGTACCGGCGGTGCTTTGGCCGACCGCGGCCGATTAATTCGCGTCCAGCAGTTCTTGAATTTAATCTTCTCTCGTATTACCCAACTTCCCCCACTCTTCGACGTCGTTGATTTCCGCCTGGCGAATTTCTCGAGGATGACGGACAAGGTCCAACCGGTTTCAGAGGAAACGCGTGTAAAGAGGGATGGACGGAATTAAATTATTGTCACCGTCAACGACTTCTGTCTTGGTATATTTGCCACTCCTTCACTTTTCCTCGTTAATCTTG